TTCTGTGCCAAAACCACTGCTACTGGAAATGTTAATCCTGGTTATGCTATTGGCCCCGTCCCCATCTCTGCATCGCCCCCTGCCCCCATTCCCCAGACCCTTCCCCAATCTCCAGTCCCTGACCCCATTTCCTCACTCTCTTCCCCAGCCCTGCTCTGGCTCTGCCCCACATGTCCCCTCTGAACCACACGCAGTGCCCTCGTTCCCCAAATGTCACCGAAATGTCTGGATTTGGGCCCAAAGTAAAGATCAGGGATCAAGAATTCAAATTTTAGCCCCAAATTCCTGATGATAGGCCAAGGGGCAGATTTGGGTCGGTGGCTTTGACTCGGTGCCTGCAGGGGAGATTTGGGGTAGAACTGGACAAGTCTGGGGGCAATGGTTGGGTTGGAGGGACGAGGCTGAGCTCAGGGTGAAACCGGCCCTGATTTGGGGCCAGGAGCTGGGATTTAGGGCCAGAGCAGGGACAAAGGAACAGGAGTGGGGTCAGAGGTTGTAGGGAAGGGTCTGGGGAACCGGGACACAGTTGGGGCTGAAGCGACAAATATCAGCAACATAACCACTAGCACCAGTAGCATCGCGTTTGGGACAGAAATAGGATCCGGAATCCTCATCCTTGAGGTTGTCCATGGTCAGCGTCACCGAGCTCTGCCCGGTGTCCCTGGAGATCGTGACCCGGCCCTTGACGGAATCCGCGTACCTGGTGCTTCCACCATCACTGTTGATGCTGGCGATGAATTCCAGCCCCTGCCCGGGTCTCTAGCGCATCCAACCCATCCCAAAACTGCCGAAACTGATCCCGGACCCTCGGCAGAGGAGGCGCAGGGACCCCCCGGGGGGCTGGAGGTCCCCCCCGCACTCCAGCAGGGTCACGGCCGCCCGGAGCCCTGCGGGACAAAGGGGAGATGGGGATGGAGCCAAAGCTCAACCCTTGACCCAAATCCTGACTATTGGCCCCAAATGGGGATCTTTAGAGTTCATCATCCTCTCAGGAGGATTCTACCCCTTTGTCCAGCTGGCCACACCCACTTGGAGGCCCTTGACCAATCAGACTTTTGATTTCCATCATCTCCCTTTTGTCCCGCAGGGCTCCGGACTGCCGTGACCCTGCTGGAGTGCGGGGGGCACCTCCAGCCCCCTGGGGGGGTCTCTGCGCCTCCTCTGCCGAGGGTCCGGGTTTGATTTTGGGAATTTTGGGATGGGCTGGGTGAGGCAGTAGCCTGGGGAAGAACTGGAGTGGGTGGCAGGGATCAGCACCAGTGGCAGCACCATGTGCAGCCCATCAGTGCGGGGCCTATTCACGATCTCCAGGGACAACGGGCAGAACTCGGTGACGCTGACCATGAAAAACCTCAAGGACGAGGATTCCGGATCCTATTTCTGTGCCAGATCTGCTGATGGCAGTTGGGGTAGCAGTGCTGGCCATGGTGACAATGACAACAGAGCAGCCCTACCCCCTTGTTGAAGTCTCCACCCGTCCCCAGCCCCTGACCAGTGATCCCAACCTTGCTCTGCCTTGACCCCAGTTCTCATCTACTGACCCCCAATCATACCTCCAGACTTTGAATCTCCTCTGTGTGCCCAAAACTTTATACTGAATGCGGATATTTCAGGCCAAGGTTTAAGGTTTGGGTGAACTTTGTAGCCAAAATCAGGGTGAGAATTTTGGCCAGAGCCACTCCAGGATTGGGACACGGGGTCCGGGATTGGGGTTTGGGGATAGGGTGGGGACACAGAGATGAGATCAGGGTCAATATCATCAACACCAAACTCAGTAAGAGTACCCGAACTCCCAGAAGCTTTTTTGGCACAGAAATAGGATCCGTAATCCTCGTCCTTGAGGTTGTTCATGGTTAGCGTCACCGAGCTCTGCCCGTTGTCCCTGGAGATCGTGACCCGGTCCTTGAACGATGGCGCGTAGAAGGTGCTGGAACCACCCTTATTGACCGCTCCAACCAATTCCAGCCCCTGCCCAGGTCTCTGGCGCGCCCAGCTCATGTCGAAACTCCCAAAACTGAACCCGGACGCTCGGCAGAGGAGGCGCAGGGACCCCACGGGGGGCTGGAGGTCCCCCCCGCACTCCAGCAGGGTCACGGCCGCCCGGAGCCCTGTGGGACAAAGGGGAGATGGGGATGAGAAACCTGATTTGTTGAGGGACTCAAAGCTGGGGTGGCCAGCTGGAAAAAGGGGCAGGACCCACCTGGGTGCAAGATGATGATCTCCAAGTGTCCCAATTTCGGGGTCAAGAGTCAGGATTTGGGTCAAGGGTTGAGCTTTGGCCTCATTCCCATCTCTCCTTTGTCCCGCAGGGCTCCGGGCGGCCGTGACCCTGCTGGAGTGCAGGGGGGACCTCCAGCCTCCCGGAGGGTCCCTGTGCCTCCTCTGCCGAGGGTCCAGGTCCAGTTTCAGCAGTTTTGCCATGAACTGGGTCCGTCAGAGACCCGGGCAGGCACTGGAGGGGGTTGCGGGGATCTACAACACTGGTGCTTACACCGACTACGCGCCATCGGTCAAGGGCCGGGTCACGATCTTCAGGGACAACGGGCAGAGCTCGTTCATGAACAACCTCAAGGACGAGGATTCCGCCACCTATTTCTGTGCCAAGGATGCTTATGATGCTGCTGGCAATGCTTCTGAAGATATTGAAGAGGGCAGTGGAAAATCCATCCCCATCTCACTGTCCCCTCCTGTCCCCAAAGCCCCAGACTCTTTCTCCAAATCTCAGCCCTTGACCCCATTCTTGACCGTTTGTCCAAAGTCTCCCCCATTTTCACCCTTGTTGACCACAGACCCCAAACCCCGACTGGTTCTGCACCAAACCCAACTGAGTTGGTGCCAAGATTTGCCCACTTTCACCCCAAATCTCGACCCTTTGGAGATCTTTTGGGGAACGAGGGGGAGATTTGGGGCCGCGAGTTGAGTTTGGGGCCAGACCCAGGGGAGTGTTTAGGGCCAAAGGAGAGTGTTGGGGCAAAGGGGGCGGGGCTGGGACAAAGGGTCAGGGGTGGGTCAGGGGGGTTTTGGGAAGGGTCTGGGGACAGCTGGGGACAGGGACGGGGCCAGGACCCCAAACACCCACCCAACCACCCATAAAAACAGTAAGAGCAGTGCTAACACCAGAAGATTTGGTACAGAAATAGGTGGCGGAATCCTCGTCCTTGAGGTTGTCCTTCGTCCTTCCAAGGACGAAGATTCCCCATCCTATTTCTGTGCCAGGGCTTTTTGTGCTGGTTGTTGGGCTGTTACTAATCATGGTGACAATGCTTTTGATAGCGTCAAACTTCTCAGTTTTGCTCCTGTCCTATCATTGGATCTCCAAATTTTAGATTTTCGTCCCAAACCTCACCTCTTGTCTCAGATCTTGACCCTTTGTCCCCATTTGCATCAATGGTCAGCACTGACCCCAAACCCTCGCGTGTTTCTGCCCCAAAACTCAACCATTGGCCCCAAACCCCCCTGACCCACCCCTGACCCATTGTCCCAGCCCCGCCCCCTTTACCCCAATGCTGCCCATTGGCCCCAAACCCTGCCCTGGCTCTGGCCCCAAACTCAACTCTCGGCCCCGAATCTCCCACTTGTGCCCCAAAAGTTCCCAAAGGGCCGAGATTTGGGGACAGTGGGTGAGGTTTGGGTCAGCGGCTGTGGCTGGGAGCCCAAAGTGGGGATTTGGGGCAGAATTGGGCGAGTTTTGGGGCCAAAGCAGGAGGGTTTGGGGCAGAACCAGTGAGGGTTTGGGGTCTTTGGTCACCATTGGTGGAAATGGGGGAGATCTGGGCAAATGGGTCAAGAATGAGGTCAAGGGCTGAGATTTGGGTAAAGGTTCTGAGATTTGGGGACAAGAGGGTCTCAGACGAGGGCGCTGCCTCCACCGGCACGGTCAATAAAGGCAGCAGCAGCCCAAGCAGCACCAGCAGCTTTGGAACAGAAATAGGATCCGGAATCCTGGTCCTTGAGGTTGTTCATGGTCAGCGTCACCGTGCTCTGCCCGTTGTCCCTGGAGATCGTGAACCGACCTTTAACCGACGGGGCGTACAAGGTGCCGGAACCATCGCTCCTGATGTAGGTGACGTATTCAAGGCCCTGCCCAGGTCTCTGGCGGATCCATTGCATGGCAAAACTGCCGAAACTGAACCCGGACCCTCGGCAGAGGAGGCGCAGGGACCCCCCGGGGGGCTGGAGGTCCCCCGCACTCCAGCAGGGTCACGGCTGCCTGGAGCCCTGCGGGACAAAGGGGAGATGGGGATGAGGCCAAAGCTCAACCCTTGACCCAAATCCTGACTCTTGGCCCCGAAATTGGGACCCATGGAGTTCATCATCCCCCTCCCAGGTGTGTCCTGCCCCTTTTCCCAGCTGACCACATGCAGTATGAGACATTCAACCAATCAGGTTTCCCATCCCCATCTCCCCTTTGTCCCGCAGGGCTCCGGGTGGCCGGGACCCTGCTGGAGTGCGGGGGGGACCTCCAGCCCCCCGGGGGGTCCCTGCGCCTCCTCTGCCGAGGGTCCGGGTTCAGTTTTGGCAGTTTTGGGATGGGCTGGTATCGACAGACACCCGGGCAGGGCCTGGAACACATCGGAGGGATCCAAAGCGATGGCAGCACCTACTATGTGCCATCGTTCAGGGGCCAGGTCACGATCTCCAGGGACAACGGGCAGAGCTCGGTGACGCTGACCATGAACAACCTCAAGGACGAGGATTCCGGATCCTATTGCTGTGCCAAAAACGCCTATGATATTGGGGTTGGGAGGCTCATGCTGCTGGTTCTAATTTTGGTCCCGTCCCCATCCCTGTGTCCCTACCTGTCCCCATTTCCCTGGTCCTTCCCTCCAGTCCTTGACCCCATTGTTGCCCCCCACAGACACAAATCTGGCCCGTTTTTCCCCAGTCTCGAGCATTTGCACCCAGATTTGGGGACCTTGGTTGAGCCTTGGAGCCAAATTCGAGTTTTGGGTCCAGAAGCTGAGATTTGGGGCAGAACCAGCTGAGTTTGGGGCCCATGGTCACAAGTGAACCCCGCTGTGATCTGGGGAACAAAGGGCAGAGTTTTAGGCATGAACAGTTTAGATTTGGGTCAAATGCCTAAAGCTGCAAGAGAAATGTTAGAGGTGAGGTGTGGGATCTCAGTCTCTCAGAACTGGGGTGCAGGGTGAACAAGACCCCCCCTGGGGGGCTCGGGAGTCCTGGAATGCTGCCAGAAATGTCTGGTGGCTGGACTTTGATCCCACATGGGAGATGACATCAGTATGAGGACGGGAGGATTTCACTGGGGTGAATGGTGAAGGGACAAGTTAATTGGAGTGTGAGATACAGGGCTTAAGATTTCTGTACAGGGGGGTCTAGAGAAGTAAGATGGAGGAATTGGGGCGTGCCCTTCTCCTTCTTCTTCTTCCTCTAGACCTCCATCTTCTGTGGTGGAGTTGGCACTCCGGGATTGGACCTTACTAGGGGAACACTGGTTAATAAGGGTAGAGGGTATTGGAGAAAAATGATAAATATTGTATACGTAACTCCGGGTATAAAGATAGGTGACCGCCCCAGGGGCTTGTAGTGTGTGCCCATGGCTGACTGCTGAGCAGAACTCTGTCAGGCCAAGAGAAAATCTTTTAGATAAGCAATTAATAAACACCAAGACCAAGAACAAATCTGAAGCTTCCTCTCGTCCTTTCGAACCCGGGGGCCCAAGGCCATCTTTGGGCTTTTCCCCAGACCATCTGAACAGCCCAGAAATCCCACAGTGAGGCAATGATGGTGGAGATTGGGGGAAAAATGTCAAGTTTTGGAGACAAGGGTAAAGATTTGATGGTAGAAAGTAGGAGTTTTGGGATGTCTGTGAGCCCAGTGTCAGGTGATGGGGCCATCACCGGCATTCTAAATATAATTAGCACCAGCACCACCAGCACCAGGAGATTTGGCACAGAAATAGGTGGCGGAATCCTCGTCCTTGAGGTTGTTCATGGTCAGCATCACCGAGCTCTGCCCGTCGTCCCTGGAGATCCTGAACCGACCATTGACCGACGGCGCGTACCAGGTGCAGCCACCACCATTACTGATATCTGCAACGTACTCCAGCCCCTGCCCAGGCCTCTGTCGATACCAGCCCATGGCAAAACTGCCAAAACTGAACCCAGACCCTCGGCAGAGGAGGCACAGGGACCCCCCGGGGGGCTGGAGGTCCCCCCCGCACTCCAGCAGGGTCACGGCCGCCCGGAGCCCTGCGGGACAAAGGGGAGATGGGGATGAGGCCAAAGCTCAACCCTTAACCCAAATCCTGACTCTTGGCCCCAAACTGTGACCCTTGGAGTTCATCATCCTCATCCCAGGTGGGTCACATCCCATTTTCCAGCAGACCACACCCGCTTTGACCCCACAGCCATTCAGGTTTCTCATCCCCTTTTTCTCGCAGGGCTCCTGGAGGCCGTGACCCTGCTGGAGTCCAGGGGGAACCTCCAGCCCCCCGGGGTGTCCCTGACGTTGCTGTGCCGAGGGTCCGGGTTCAATTTTGGGGATTATGGAATGTACTGGATCCGCCAGAGACCTGGGAAGGGTTTGGAATATGTCCCAGAGATCTACAGCAGTGGTGGCACCATGTACTACAATCCATCGGTCAAGGGCTGGTTCAGGATCTCCAGGGACAATGGGCAGAGCTCGCTGACGCTGACCATGAACAACCTCAAGGACGAGGATTCCGGATCCTATTTCTGTGGGAAAGCTTCCTGCTCTGGTTGTGTTCCTAGTGCTGGTTGTGTTGACAATGCACGTTATGGCCTCCATTTCCTCGTTCTGGCACCGCTCCCATCATTGAGTCCCAAGAGTTGTGATTTTCGTCCCAAATGTCACCCATTGACCCAGCCATTGACCTTTTGTCCCCATTTGCACCAATGGTCAGCACTGACCTCAAACCCTGCCCTGCATCCTGCCCCAAAACTCAACCATAGGCCCCAAACCTTCACCCCAGAGCTCCAGGTCTGACCTTGCTCTCCAAGAGTTCCCATTTGTGCCTGTGCCAGCTCAGCCAATCAGGGCCCGAGGAGCTGGGGGTGATTTGAGGACAACGTGGACATTTGGGGCAAATTTTGGTGCCAACTCACCTTTGGTTTGGGGCAGAACCAGTAAGGGCTTTGTGGCTTCGTGGTTGGCGTTGCTGGAAATGGGGGAGATCTGGGGGAAAAGGGTCAGGAATGGGGTCAAGTGCTGAGATTTGGGGAAGGGTCTGGGGACTGGGGAAAGGAAGGGCTCAGAAATGGTGGTGCCACCACCGGCAGGGTCAATATCAGCAGCAGCATCAGCACCACCACCATAAGAAGATTTGGCACGGAAATAGGATCCGGAATCCTCGTCCTTGAGGTTGTTCATGGTCAGCGTCACCGAGCTCTGCCCGTTGTCCCTTGAGATCCTGAACCGGCCCTTGACCGATGGCGCGTACCAGGTGCTGCCACTTTTGCTGATACTGGCGACTGGCTCCAGCCCCTATCAAGGTCTGTGGCGATGCCAGCCCATCCCAAAACTGCCAAAATCAAACCCGGACCCTCGGCAGAGGAGGCGCAGGGACCCCCCGGGGGGCTGGAGGTCCCCCCTGCACTCCAGCAGGGTCACGGCCGCTCCCCCATCCCCAAACCTTCACCGGTTTGCCCCAAATTCCCTTTGTCTGACCCCAATTCTCCAACAGAGGATTCCAGTATTGTAAAGTGCCTGCAACACAGAAATTAACCCTGATCCACCGATTAATTAATTTGACAGCTCCACCCGAGTTTTGCATCGCCCCGTGCCCATCTCCCCTTTGTCCCGCAGGGCTCCGGCTGCCGTGGCCCTGCTGGAGTGCGGGGGGGACCTCCAGCCCCCCGGGGGTTCCCTGCGCCTCCTCTGCCGAGGGTCTGGGTTCGATTTTAGCAGTTTTGGAATGAGCTGGGTCCGTCAGAGACCCGGGCAGGAGCTGGAGTGACTCGCAGGGATCAGCAGCAATGGTGCTAACACAGAGTACGCGCCATCGGTCAAGGGCCGGTTGAGGATCTCCAGGGACAATGGGCGGAGGCCTGTGACGCTGACCATGAACAACCTCAAGGACGAGGATTCCGGATCCTCTTTCAGTGCCAAGGGTGATGGTGCTGCTGATAATGATGCCTATGGTATTGGCCCCACCCCCATCACTGTGTCATCACTTGCTCCTACCTGCCCCTTCCCCGTTCCCCCAGTCCCCAGCCCCTGACCCCATTCCTGTCCCCGTGCCCAAACCCTGCCCTGGCTCTGCCCCACATTCTCAACTCCTGGCCCCAAACCTCAGCTCGGGGCCCATTCAGGGCCATTTTAGCTCCTGAGCTCTCCTTGGCCATTCTGACCCTGCCCTTCACCAATGGAACCTTCCAGGTGACTCCACCCTTGGACCCATCTGCTTAGCTCAGCATGGAGCCCTTGGCTCGAGATCAATTTGAAAAATTCAATTTCCCAAAAATTTCATGTGTTTTTTGGGTAAAAAAAAGGGAGTTTTCTCCAGAGAGAGGATTCCAGCCCAGCCTCAAGGAGCAGCCCCAGACACTGCGGCCGCTGAGGGAGCTGTGAAGCCCCAGGTGGGAGCGATGGAGGGAGGGAGGAGAAGACGCCGCGATTTTGGGGCTCCGCAGCCTCCCCCCACTTCCTCCCCAGCAGCTGCCGGGGCCCGGCCGGGGCAGGAAAGGAAACAGAAAGTTCCTGGTTTTGGTCACTGTGAACATCTGTGTTTGGCAGAGGGCAGCTCAGCCTTGGGGCGCTGCGGCAGAGCGCCGGCTGCACAAAAAGCTTTGTGTGCAAAGGGCCCTGGAGCGATCCCCGTTCCGCACTGGGATGGAGGGGAACTGGAGGAGAGTGGGGAGGAATGGGAAAAATTGGGGGAAATTGGGAATTGGGGAAGTGATGGTGGCATTTGGGGGAAATGGTCAAGATTTGAGAAATATGGGTGGGGATTATGACGAAGGATCAAAGAATTCTGAGATATTTGGGAAGAGAGAGGAGAGGGCTCTGGACCGCAATCACCATCAACACCATAAGCAGCAGCACCACCACCACAACTACTGCTGTAACATTTGGCACAGAAATAGGATCCGGAATCCTCGTCCTTGACGTTGTTCATAGTCAGCGTCACCTAGCTCTGCCCGTTGTCCCTGGAGATCCTGAACCAGCCCTTGACAGATGGATTGTAGTAGGTGGTGCCACCAGAGTTGTAGATGCCTGTGACCTGCAAACCCTGCCCAGGTCTCTGGCGGATCCAGTACATTCCATAACTCCCAAAATTGAACCCGGACCCTCGGCACAGCAACGTCAGGGAACCCCCGGGGGGCTGGAGGTGCCCCCTGCACTCCAGCAGGGTCACGGCCGCCCGGAGCCCTGCGGGACAAGGGGAGATGGGGATGGGGAAAAAAATCAACCCAAATATTGATTCTTGCATGCAGATCCTGATGCTGGCCCCAAATCGGGAACATTGGAGTTCACCATCCTCCTCCTGCAACTCCTGCCAATCCTCCCAGGTGCTTCCCACACCCTTCTTCTGGCATGGCGGTGCCCATTTTGGTTCCGCAGCCAATCCAGGTCCTCATCCTCACCTTCCGTTTGTCCCGCAGGGCTCCGGGTGGCCATGACCCTGCTGGAGTGCGGGGGGGACCTCCAGCCCCCCGGGGGCTCCCTGCGCCTCCTCTGCCGAGGGTCCGGGTTCAGTTTCGGGATTTTCACCATGTTCTGTGGGTGCCAGAGACCTGGGCAGGGGCTGGAGTTGGTGGCAGCGATCTGGAGCGATGGTGGCACCATGTACGCCTCATCAGTCCAGGGCCAGGTCACGATCTCCAGGGACAACGGGCAGAGCTCGGTGACGCTGACCATGAACAACCTCAAGGACGGGAATTCTGGATCCTATTTCAGTGCCAAATGTGTGGATGCTGGTTGCTATGATGGTGCTGCTGGTGCTGAACCTTTTGATCCCATCCCCATGCCTGTGTCCCCTCCTGTCCCCATTGCCCAGACCGTTCCCCCAAACCCCCAGCCCACACCCAACCCTTGACCATTGATCCCAACCTTGCTGTGCCTCGGCCCCAATTCTCACCCACTGACCCCAAACCACAACTCCTGACACCAAATCTCCTCTTTGTGCCCCAAAACTTCGTATTAAAAAGGACAATTTCAGGCCAAGTGTCAAGATTTTGGTCAACCAGTTGGCAAGGAAATGAGAATTTGGGGAAGGATCGGCTCAGGGCTGGGACACAGGGACAGGAATGGCATCAGGGGTTGGGGTTTGGGGGACGGGTCTGAGACATGAGGGCAGGTGGGGACACGGGGATAGGTGTGGGGACAACACCGGCATTGTCAACATAACCAGCAGCAGTGCCACCAGTACAAGTACCAGCAGATTTCCCGCAGAAATAAAGGGCGGAATCCTCGTCCTTGAGGTTGTTCATGGTCAGCGTCACCGAGCTCTGCCCGTTGTCCCTGGAGATCCTGAACTTGCCCTGCACCGACGGTGTGTAGTAGGTTCTGCCATTGCTTTTGATCCCTGCGAGCCACTCCAGAGTTTGCCCGGGTCTCTGGCGAAACCAACTGAATCCAAAACTGTCGAAACTGAACCCGGACCCTTGGCAGAGGAGGCGCAGGGACCCCCCAGGGGGCTGGAGGTCCCCCCTGCACTCCAGCAGGGTCACGGCCACCCGGAGCCCTGTGGGACAAAGGGAAGATGGGGATGAGAAATCTGATTGGCTGAGGGCATGAATGGGTGGCAGTGTCAACTTGAAAAAGGGACGGGACCCACCTGGGAGGAGGATGATGAACTCCAAGGGTCACAGTTTGGGGCCAAGAGTCAGGATTTGGATCAAGGGTTGAGCTTTGGCCTCATCCCCATCTCCTCTTTGTCCTGCAGGGCTCCGGGCGGCCGTGACCCTGCTGGAGTGCGGGGGAAACCTTCAGCCCCCCGGGGATTCCCTGTGCCTCCTTTGCCGAGGGTCCGGGTTCAGTTTTGGGCTTTATGCCATGCATTGGATTCGCCAGAGACCCGGGCAGGTGCTGGAGTGTCTCGGGGGCATCAACCCTGGTGGCAGCACCAACTACGCGCCGTCGTTCAGGGACCGAGTCAGCATCTCCCAGGACAACGGGCAGAGCTCGGTGGCGCTGACCATGAACAACCTCAAGGACGAGGATTCCGGATCCTATTTCTGTGCCAAATGTGCTTATGGTGGTTGGATTGATGGTCCTGCTGCTGTTGAACATTTAGATGGCATTGCCTGCCCCCTGTCCCCACCTGTTCCAATTCCCCAGAGCCTTCCCCCAAACTCCAACCCCTGACCCCATTCCTGACTTGTCACAGACTTTTTTTCTTAAAATCCTTTCTTTTAGGATTTGTCATTTTTAGGAAGCTTGGGCCTCAGAATAAAATGTAAACAATAATTATCTGCTGGTGTGGAATGTAACAGGTGCATCTGTGATTGGTCCTCTGTGAGTGTTTGGATTTGCTGACCACTCACGGCAGAGTTTGTCCTTGCTTTCTGCTGGACACAGAACTTTGTTATTTTGTTCTTTCCTATGCTATTCTTTCCTTAGCAGCTTCTGCAACTTGTCTCTCTACTCCTTTTTTTATAATCATAATGTATTCTATATCATATATTATTCAATCCAGCCTTCTGTTTATGAACCAAGATTCTCGTCCATCTCTCTCACCCTGAGGAACCTTCATAAAGTCACCGCAATACTGACCCTCTGCCCACGCCCTGCCCTGGCTCTGCCCCAAATGTCCCCTCTGGGCACACTCAGCACCCTTGTTACCCAAATGTCATCGAAATGTCTGGATTTGGGCCCAAGGCTGAGCTGTGGGGTCAAGAATTCAAATTTTCACCCAAAATTCCCAATGTGAGTCCAAGAGGGCCAGATTTGGGTCAGTGGCTTTGACTCGGTGCCCGCAGGGGAGATCTGGGGTAAAACTGGACAAGTCTGGGGGCAATGGTTGGAATTGGAGGGTCGAGGCTGAGCTCAGGGTGAAACCGGCCCTGATTTGGGGCCAGGAGCTGAGATTTGGGGCCAGGGGCTGAGATTTGGGGCCAAGAGCTGAGATTTGGGGCCAAGAGCTGGGATTGGGGCCAGAGCAGGGCAAGGTTGGGACATGGGGACAGGAGTGGGGTCAGGCGTTGGGTTTGGGAGAAGAGTCTGGGACTGGGGGCAGGAGGGACACGGGGATAGGGCGGAAACATCAAACATCAGCAGCATAAGGAGCAGCACCAGCACCAGGGCGTTTGGCACAGAAATAGGATCCAGAATCCTCGTCCTTGAGGTTGTTCATGGTCAGCATCACCGAGCTCTGCCCGTTGTCCCTGGAGATTGTGACCCGGTCCTTGACCGATGGCATGTAGTTGGTGCTGCCACCGTTGTCACTGATCCCCGCAAGCGACTCCAGTCCCTTTCCGGGTCTCTGGCGGATCCAGAGCATTGCAAATTTCCCAAAATCGAACCCGGTCGCTCGGCAGAGGAGGCGCAGGGACCCCCTGGGGGGCTGGAGGTCCCCCCCACACTCCAGCAGGGTCACGCCGCTCCCCCAGCTCCAAACCTTCACCGGTTTTCACCAGACTCCCCTGGTTTGCTCCCAAATCTACACCAGAGTTTTCCATAATCGAGGGTGCCTCAAACCCTACAATTAACCCCAGTCCACTCATTAATTACTTGGACAGCTCGTCCTGAAACCTCTGTATTAATTGCAGAATTAACATTTTGGTAACGACCCCCACAACCGTCCGGGACCCCCTCCGCGGCACATCCCGGCCACGGCCTTGAGCTCCGTCCGGCTCCTGGCCCCGGTTGGCCCTCCCAAGTGGGTCAAGGTCCCTTTCTCCAGTTGGCCACACCCACTTTATGCCCACAGCCAATCAGGTTCCTCATCCCGATCTCCCCTTTGTCCCGCAGTTCTCTGAGCGGCCGTGACCCTGCTGGAGTGCGGGGGGGAACTCCAGCCCCCGGGGGGTCCCTGCGCCTCCTCTGCCGAGGGTCTGGGTTCAGTTTTGGGAGTTTTGGAATGTTCTGGATCCATCAGAGACCCGGGCAGGGGCTGGAATGGGTCGCGGGCATCAACAGCAATGGTGGTTGGACCGGCTATGCGGATTCTGTCAAGGCCCGGGTCCCAAACTCCAGGGACAATGGGCAGAGCTCGGTGATGCTGACCATGAACAACCTCAAGGACGATGATTCCGACGTTTATTTCTGTGCCAAATGTTACACTAGTTTTGTGGTAGTCGTGGTGCTGGTTATGGTGTTGATGGTGGTTGTGGTCCCAAGCCCTCTCCTCTCTGTTCCCAAATATCTCAGAATTCTCTGATCCTTCCCCTAAATCCCCACCCCTTTTTCTCAAATCTTGACCATTTCCCCGTAAACTCCACCCCTGCTGCCACAGCTTTTGGTTTCCCAAAGTTTTGCCCATTTCTCCCCAATCTCCCTTAGTTTCCCTCCGTCCCAGTGCGGAACGGGGATCGCTCCAGGGCCTTTTGCACACAAAGCTTTTTGTGCAGCCGGCGCTCTGCCGCAGCGCCCAGAGGCTGAGCTGCCCTCTGCCAAACACAGATGTTCACAATGTCCAAAACCAGGAACTTTCTGTTTCCTTTCCTGCCCCGGCCGGGCCCCGGCAGCTGCTGGGGAGGAAGTGGGGGGAGGCTGTGGAGCCCCAAAATCGCGGCGTCTTCTCCTCCCTCTCTCCCTCGCTCCCGCCTGGGGCTTCACTTCTCCCTTAGCTGCCTCGGTGTCGGGGGCTGCTCCTTGGGGCTGGGCTGGAATCCTCTCTGGGAGCTCTGGACATGGTGACGATGCTGGTGGTGGCAGCAAACCCCCATCCCTGGCTCCCCAAATGTCCCAAAATCCCCAAATCCTGCCCGAAATCCCAAACGTTGACCTCATTCTTGACCTTCTCCCCCAGTGTCCACCATCTTTGCCCCAACTCTTGGCTTTCCCCCCAGTTTTGCCCTTTTCACCCAAATCTCCCCCTGCTCCCCGGGCCCTGATTGGAGGAGGCCTTAACTGGAGGCCAGGGGTGAAGGTTTGGGGCCAATGGTTGAGTTTTGGGGCAGGAGCAGGGCAGGGTTTGGGGTCAGTGCTGACAATTGGGGCAAATGGGGGAGATTTGGGACAAAGGGTCAAGGGCTGAGGTTAAGGGGACAATTTGAAGGAATGGTCTGGGTTTGGGGACAGGTGAGGAGAGAGAGATGGGGATGGAACCACCATGGCCATTTGTCACTATAAGCAGCAGCACCATCATAACCACTAGTAGAACGTTTGGCACAGTAATAAACGGCGGAATCCTCGTCCTTGGGGCTGTTCCTGGTCAGAGTCACCGAGCTCTGCCTGTTGTCCCAGGAGATCGTGAACCGGCCCTTGACCGATGGCGCGTAGTCGGTGCTGCCACCATTGCTGTTGATACCTGCGATGTATACCAGCGTCTGTCCGGGTCTCTGGCGGATCCAGAACATTCCATAACTCCCAAAACTGAACCCAGAGGGGCGGCACAGCAACGTCAGGGACCCTCCGAGGGGCTGGAGGTTCCCCCCGCATTCCAGCAGGGTTACGGCCGCCCGGAGCCCTGCGGGACAAAGGGGAGATGGGCATGAGTCAAAAGCTCAAACCTTGACCCCACAATCCTGACCCTTGGCCCCAAACTGGGATCCTTGGATTTCATCATCCTCCTCCCAGGTGGGTCCTGCCCCGTTTTCCAGCTGGCCACACCCACTAGGAGTCCCTGGACCAATCAGGTTTCTTATCCCCAACTCCCCTCTGTCCCGCAGGGCTCCGGGTGGCTGTGAACCTGCTGGAGTGCGGGGGGCACCTCCAGCCCCCTGGGGTATCCCTGTGCCTCCTCTGCCGAGGGTCCGGGTTCGATTTTGGGAGTGTCACCATGTTCTTGATGTGTCAGAGACCCGGGCAGGGGCTGGAGTGGCTCGCAGGGATCAGGAACGATGGTGGCAACTCCGCCTACGCGGATTCAGTCAAGGGCCGGGTCACGATCTCTAGGGACAACGGGCAGAGCTCGGTGATGCTGACCATGAACAACCTCAAGGACGAGGATTCTGGATCCTATTTCTGCGCCAAATGTTACAGCAGTGCTTGTGGTCCTAATATTGATGCTGGTTATGATGAAGATGCCAGTGGTGGACCCTCCTCGATGCTGTGCCCACAAACCTCCCAAAACCCCACATTCTACCCCCAAATCTTTAGTGTTGGCCACAAATCTTGACCATTTTCCCCAGTCTTCCCAATCATTGTCTCACCTCACACATTTCCATGGGGCTTTCAGAATTTGAAATAATTCTCAAAGGTTCATCCCCAAAACCCTGCCCTTTGTGCCCCAGATCTCAGCGGGGTTCACTTGTGACCATTGGCTCCAAACTCAGCTGGTTCTGCCCCAAATCTCGACTCTTGGTGGCAAACCTCAGCTCTTGGCTCCAAGGCTCAACCAAGGCTCTCAACCCTCGGTGCAAATGGTCAAGATTTGGGAAAAATGGTCCAGATTTGGGTGTGTGGGCGTCAACAATGGGGTCAAGGGTTGGAGGGAAGGACCTGGGGAACGGGGATGGGGACGGGACCAAAATTAGAACCAGCAGCATGAGCCTCCCAACCCCAACTATCATAGGCGTTTTTGGCACAGAAATAGGATCCGTAATCCTTGTCCTTCAGGTTGTTCATGGTCAGCGTTACCGAGCTCTGCCCGTTGTCCCCGGAGATCCTGAACCGGCCCTTGACCGACGGCCCGTATCTGGGGGTGGAACCATCACCGTTGATCCCCGCGACATATTCCGGACCCTGCCTGGATCTCTGGCGCATCCAGAACATTGCAGATTTTGTGAAATTGAAGCCAGATGTTTGGCAGAGCAATGTCAGGGACCCCCCGGGGGGCTGGAGGACCCCCCCACAGTCCAGCAGGGTCACGGCCGCCCGGAGCCCTGCGGGACAAAGGGGAGATGGGGATGAGGAGCTGGATTTGCTTTGGACCCAAAGTGGGCACCGCCATGCCAGAAAAAGGGTGTGGGATCCACCTGGGCGGGCCAGCAGGATTTGCAGTAGGAGGATGGGGAAGTCCAATGGTCCAAATTTGGGGCCAACATCAGGATCTGCTTGCAAGAATTAATATTTGGGTAGTTTTTTTTTATTCCTCACCATCTCCCCTTTGTCCAGCAGGGGTGCGGGCGGCCGTGACCCTGCTGGAGTGCGGGGGGTACCTCCAGCCCCCCGGGGGGGCCCTGACGTTTCTGTGCAGAGGGTCCGGGTTCAGTTTCGCGAGTTATGGAATGTTCTGGATCCGCCAGAGACCCGGGCAGATGCTGGAATACATCGCCAATATCAGCAGCAGTGGTGGCAGCACCGACTACGCACCGTCGGTCAAGGGCCAGTTCAGGATCTCCAGGGACAATGGGCAGAGCTCGGTGACGCTGACCATGAACAACCTAAAGGACGAGGATTCCGCCGTTTATTTCTGTGCCAAACCTGGTACTAGTGGTTATGGTGGTGCTGCTGCTTATAATGACGATGGCCGTGGTGGATTCACCCAATCTCTGTGTCCTCACCTGTCCCCAAACTGAGACTCTCCCTTCCAATTGTCCCCCAAACCTCAGCCATTGACTCCCTTTCCCAAATCTCCCCCATTTGCCCCAATGGTCAGCAGTGACCCCAAACCCTGCCCTGCTCCTGCCCCAAAACTCAACCATTGGCCCCAAACCTTCACCCTTGGGCTCCAATTTAGGCCTCCTCCAATCAATGCCTGGGAGCAGGGGGAGATTTCGGTGAAATGGGAAAAACTGGGGAAACATCAGGAATTCGGACAGCAATAGTGGAAACTGGGGAGTAAGGTCAAGAATGGGGTCAAGGGTTGGGATTTGGGAGAAGTAATTTGGGAAATTTTGGGAACTCGGGCTGCGGGCTTGGGGCGATGCTGAGGATTGTCACCATAAGCAACAGCAGCTCCATTCCAACCACCATCACTGCATCTGGCTCAGAAATAGGATCCGGAATCCTTGTCCTTGAGGTTGTTCATGGTCAGCGCCACCAAGCTCTGCCCGTTGTCCCTGGAGATCGTGACCCGGCCCTTGACCGATGGCGCGTAGTCGGTGGCACCATTGCTCCAGATCGCTGCGATCCATTCCAGCCCCTGCCCGGGTCTCTGTCGATACCAGCCCATCCCAAAATTCCCAAAATCGAACCCGGACCCTCGGCAGAGGAGGCGCAGGGACCCCCCGGGGGCTGGAGGTCCCTCCCGCACTCCAGCAGGGTCACGGCATCTGACTCCTTGATTCAGAATGCTGAACGATTGCTATTAAATCTCTACTATACTACACTAATATTATATTTTATTACAATAATACAATATTATATCTCATTATTAGTATATTACATCTCATTAATAATATATTATATCTCACTAATACTATATTATATCTCATTAATTCTCTATTATATCCCATTAATACTATACTATATCTCATTAAAACTGTATTGCCTGTCATTAATGCTATATTATATTTCATTAATTCTATATAACATCTCATTAATATTATATTATATCTCATTAATTCTCTATTATATCTCTTTAATTCTCTATTATATCTCATTAATCCTACATTACACCTATACTAAAGAGATATTAAAAGAACTCTGCACAAAAGACCCTAAAATATCCTGAAGAAACCCCGCGAGTGTCTGACAGAGCCAGGTCACGGCCTGGAGCCCACTGGGCAAGGAAACAAAACAATCCTCAGCAGCACCCAACTGGTAAATCCCTGGAGGGGAACAATCCCCCCGACCCATTCCACATGTGCAGAAACAGCAGGAGCAGCGATGAGAGATGGGAATTGTTTCATCTTCTTCTTCTCCCTGTGCTGCTCCAGGAAAAATAATGAGAGAGAGCGACAGAGAGAGAGAGAAAGAGAGAGAGGGAGAGAGGGAGAGAGGGAGAGAGAGGGAGAGAGGATGGTGTCTGACTCTGTGCAGGGAATGAGAATGGCACAGCCAGGCCCCGTGCCCATCTCCCCTTTGTCCAGCAGGGCTCCGGGCAGCCGTGACCCTGCTGGAGTGCGGGGGGGACCTCCTGCCCCCCGGGGGGTCCCTGCGCCTCCTCTGCAGAGGGTCCGGGTTTGATTTCAGGAGTTTTGGAATGCACTGGGTGCGCCAGAGACCCGGGCAGGGGCTGGAATACATCGCCAGTATCAGCAGCAGTGGTGGCAGCACCGACTACGCACCGTCGGTCAAGGGCCGGGCCACAATCTCCAGGGAAAACGGGCAGAGCTCGGTGACGCTGACCATGAACAACCTCAAGGACGACGATTCCGCCGTTTATTACTGTGCCAAACGTGGTACTAGTGGTTATGGTGGTGGTGCTGCTTAGAGTGACGTTGGCCGTGGTGCATCCATCCCCATCTCTGTGTCCTCACCTGTCCCCAAACTGAGACCCTTCCTTTAAATTATCCCCCATTGACTCAGCCCTTGACCCTTTGTCCCAAATCTCCACCATTTGCAGCAATGGTCAACATTGACCCCAAACCCTCCCCTGCTCCTGCCCCAAAACTCAACAATTGACCCCAAACCTTCACCCCTGACCTCCAGTTCAGGCGTCCTCCAATCAGGGCCCAGGTGCTGGGGGAGATTTGGGTGAAATGGGCAAAACTGTGTGAAAGTCCCGAGTTGGGGCAAAGATGGTGGACATTCAGGAAGAAGGTCAAGAATGGGGTCAAGGGTTGGGATTTGGTGCAGGATTTGGGGATTTTGGGACATTTACGGAGCCAGGGATGGGGTTTTGGGGCCACCACCAGCATCGTCACCATGTCCAGAGCTCCCAGACAGGATTCCAGCAGAGCCCCAAGAAGCAGCCCCAGACACCGCGGCCGCTGAGGGAGAAGTGAAGCTCCAGGAGGGAGGGAGGGAGTGAGGGAGGAGAAGACGCCGCGATTTTGGGGCTCCACAGCCTCCCCCCACTTCCTCCCTGGCAGCTGCCAGGGCCCGGCCGGGGCAGGAAAGAAAACAGAAAGTTCCTGGTTTTGGTCATTGTGAACATCTGTGTTTGGCAGAGGGCAGCTTAGCCTCGGGGCGCTGCGGCAGAGCGCCGGCTGAACAAAAAGCTTTGTGTGCAAAGGGCCCTGGAGCAATCCCGTGCCACACTGGGACGGAGGGGAAGGGCCAGACTGGGGAGAATTGGGGAAAATTGGGGGGAAACCAAAAATTGCAGCAACAGGGGACGAGTTTGGAGGAAATGGTGAAGATTTGAGAAAAAAGGGCTCGAACCAGGGGGAAGGATCAGAGAATTCTGTGATACCTGGTTACACAGAAGAAAGGGCTTGGGACCACAACCACCATAAAAACCATAAGCAGCAGTGCCACCACCACAACTACTACTGTAACATTTGGCACAGAAATAGGTGGTGGAATCCTCGTCCTTGAGGTTGTTCATGGTCAGCGTCACCGAGCTCTGCCCATTGTCTCTGGAGATCCTGAACCGGCCCTTGACCGACGGCGCGTAGTCGGTGTAACCTCCAGTGTGGTAGATCCTTGCGACGTATTGCAACCCCTGCCTGGGTCTCTGGCGGATCCAGAACATGTCAACTCTCCCGAAATCGAACCCAGACCCTCGGCAGAGAAGGCGCAGGGACCCCTCAGGGGACTGGAGGTCCCCCCTGCCCTCCAGCAGGGTCACGGCCGCCCGGAGCCCTGCGGGAAAAAGGGGAGATGGGGATGAAGGAAAACATCCACCCAAATGTTGATTCTTGCATGCAGATCCTGATGTTGGCCCCAAATTGTGGCACTTTCTCCTCCTCCTGATCCTGCAGGCCCTTCCAGGGGGCTTGAGGTCCCATATTGGATCTGGTCACCCCCAGCCAGACCCACACCTGGATCCGGGGCCTCATCCCCATCTCCCCTTTGTCCCGCAGGGCTCCGGGCGGCCGTGACCCTGCTGGAGTGCGGGGGGGACCTCCAGGCACCCGGGGGGTCCCTGCGCCTCCTCTCCTGAGGGGGTTCAGTTTCGGCAATTTTGCCATGAACTGGGTGTGCCAGAGACACGGGCAGGGGCTGGAATTCGTGGCGTACATAAACATTGGTGGAGCCACTTACTACCCGCCATCAGTCAAGGGCCGGTTCATGATCTCCCGGGAAAACGGGCAGAGCTCAGTGACGCTGACCATGAACAACCTCAAGGACGAGGATTCCGGATCGTATCTCTGTGCCAGGGCTGCTGATAATTATGGTGCTGCTGCTAATGGTGACAATGCCCCTGATGGTCTCAAGCTCCTGCCTTTCATCCCACTCCCATCATTGAGTCCCCAGAGTTCTGCTTTTCATCCCAAACCTCACCCATTGACCCAGCCCTTTACCCTTTGTCTCCATTTGCACCAATGGTCAGCACTGACCCCAAACCCTCCCCTGCTCCTGCCCCAAAACTCAACCATTGGCCCCAAAACTTCACCCCTGGGTCCAGTTCAGGCCTCCTCCAATCAGGGCCCAGGGAGCTTGGGGAGATTTGGGTGAAATGGGCAAAACTGGGAGAAATTCAGAAGTTGGGGCAACAGGGGCAGACATTGGGGTAAAATGGCTGAGATTTGTTGAAAAAGGCTGATGATGAGGAGATCAGAGGACTATGGGATATTTGGGAACAAAGTGGAGGGATTTGGGACCAAGATCAGAACCAGCAATAAATGCCACACCAACAGTACCATTACTATTGGCACAATCACCATCAAAAATTTGGCACAGAAATAGGATCCGGAATCCTCGTCCTTGAGGTTGTTCATGGTCAGCGTCAGCGAGCTCTGCCCGTTGTCCCTGGAGATCCTCAAACAGCCCTTCACCGATGGCGCGTAGGCGATGCTGCCACCGTTGCCCTTGATCACTGCGACGAATTCCAGCCCCTGCCTGGATCTCTGCTGCACCCAGAACATGGAGAAACTCCCAAAACTGAACCCGGACCCTCGGCACAGCAACGTCAGGGAACCCCCGGGGGGCTGAAGGTCCCCCCCGCACTACAGCAGGGTCATGGCCAACCGGAGACCTGCGGGACAAAGGGGAGATGGGGATGATGAGACCCATTGGTTGTACGGTCAAACTGGGCGCTGCCATTCCAGAAGAAGGGTTTGGGATCCACCTGGGATGACTGGCAGGAGTTGCAGGAGGAGGGTGGGGCGGTCCAAGGGTCCCAGTTTGGGGCCAACATCAGGATCTGCATGCAGGAATCAACATTTGGGTGGATTCGTTCCCACATCCCCATTTCCCCTTTGTCCCGCAGGGCTCTGGGCGGCCGTGACCCTGCTGGAGTGCGGGGGGACCTCCAGCCCCCCGGGGGTCCCTGCGCCTCCTCTGCCGAGGGTCTGGGTGAAGTTTCGGGAGTTTTGCCATGCAATGGATCCGCCAGAGACCCGGGCAGGGGCTGGAATGGCTTGCGGGGATCAGGAACGATGGTGCTGACACTGGCTACACCCCATTGGTCAAGGGCCAGTTCAGGATCTCCAGGGACAACGGGCAGAGCACGGTGACGCTGACCATGAACAACCTCAAGGACGAGGATTCCGGATCCTATTTCTGTGCCAAACATGGTGCTGCTGGCAATTGGGGTGATGCTGCTGCATATGTTGAAGGCACCAGTTGTGGATCCACCCCCGTCTCCATGTCGCCCCCCGTCTTGAATCCCCAGACCCTTCCCCCAAAACTCACCCATTGACTCAGACCTTGAACCCTTTGTCCCAAATCTCCCCCGTTTGCCCCTATGGTCAGCACTGACCCCAAACCCTCCCCTGCTCCTGCCCCAAAACTCAACCTTTGGCCCCAAACCTTAACCCCTGGCCTCCAGTTCAGGCCTCCTCCAATCAGGGCCCGGGGAGCTGGGGGAGATTTGGGTGAAATGGGCAGAAGTGGGAGAAAGTCCAGAGTTGAGGCAGTAGGGGCAGAGTTTGGGGGAAACTCTTTAACAACTGAGGAGAAAAGCGGGGCTCTGGAGGAAGGATCACTGGGAGTGGAGACATCTGGTGACCATCAGGGAGGGTGGGACCACTGCTGGAATTGTCACTAAAAGCAGCAACACCACCACCATAACTACTATTAGGACATTTGGTGCAGAAATAAACGTCAGAGTCCTCGTCCTTTAGGTTGTTCATGGTCAGCTCACCGAGCTCTGCCCTTTGTCCCTGGAGATCCTGAACCGGCCCTGCACCCATGGCGCATAGTAAATATTGGAACCATCGCTCCTGATGTAGGCAATGCATTCCAGCCCCTACCCGGGTCTCTGGCGGACCCAGTTCGTGGCAATACTGCCAAAACTGAACCCAGACCCTCGGCAGAGGAGGCGCAGGGACCCCCCCGGGAAGCTGGAGGTCCCCCCCGCACTCCAGCAGGGTCACGGCCACCCGGAGCCCTGTGGGACAAAGGGGAGATGGGGATGCAGCCAAAGCTCAGCCCTTGACCCAAATCTTGACTCTTGGCCCCAAACTGGGAGACTTGGTGTTCATCATCCTCCTCCCAGGTGAGTCACATCCCATTTTCCAGCAGACCACACCCGCTTTGACCCAACAGCCAATCAGGTTTCTCATCCCCTTTGTCCCGCAGGGCTCCGGGCAGCCGTGACCCTGCTGGAGCGTGGGGGGGACCTCCAGCCCCCCGGAGGGTCCCTGACGTTGCTGTGCCGAGGGTCCGGGTTCAGTTTTGGGAGTTATGGAATGTACAGGATCTGCCAGAGACCGGGGATGGGGCTGGAATTCGTCACAGGGATCTACAGCAGTGGTGGCACCACTGGCTACTCGCCATTGGTCAAGGGCCTATTCAGGATCTCCAGGGACAGCTGGCAGAGCTCGGTGACACTGACCATGAACAACCTCAAGGACGAGGATTTTGCCATCTATTTTTGCGGAAAATCTGCTGGCACTGGTGATGGTGGTGCTGTTGCTAATTTAGGTGATGATGATGGTTGTGTCCCCATCTCCGTGTCCCCCCCTGTCCCCCTTCCCCAGACCCTTCCCCCAGACCCCCAGCCCACACCCAGCCCTTGGCCGTCGATCCCAGCCTTGCTCTGCCTCGGGCCCAATTCTCACTCGCTGACCCTAAACCACAACTCCTGACCCCAAATCTCCTCTTTGTGCCCCAAAAGTTTGCTCTGTAGTTCGGGATTTGAGGCCAAGGGTTCAAATTTTTGTCAGAATTGGGGATTCGTGTCAGCAGCTGTGACTGGGAGCACAAAGTGGGGTTTTGGGGCAGAATCGGGTGATTTTGGTGCAAACTTAATTGGGTTTGGGGCAGAACCAGTTTGGGGGTTTTGGCTGCACAGTCGGTGTTGTGAAACTGGGGGAGATCTGGGACAAGGGGTCAAGAATGGGGTCAAGGACTAAAATTTGGGGGAAGGGTCTGGAGATT